TTGCGGCCTTCGGTCGCCATAATACTTTAACAATGTGAGTGGCACACAATGAATCTCGAATATTGACCCGTGGATCGTGGTAATGTTCCACATGGAACTTAGTTCAAGGGGGAGACTCGTAAATCGTAGTACTGGGCCATGTGGAACTTAGTTTGAGGGGGAGATTGTTGGGTGTGCGAACAAAGTCTCATACTGGTAGCTGAAAAGATTGGGAGTCTACATATAAGGTGTATGGATCTCTTAATAGTGCGAGACCTTTGGGAAAAAACGTGCGGGCTTGGTCCAAAACGGATAATATCACATAATATTAAGAGTATATATGGGCTAGTTTAGCCTAACAACTGGTATCAGAGCCCAGGTTCGGCGGGACAAATTAGGAGATGGCAAAGAGATGGTGCGGGACGGTGCGCACACAAGAAGAAGCTAGTTGGAGGCTTTGATCGCCATAATACTCTAACAATGTGGGTGGCACACAGTGAATCTCGAAAATTGACCCGTGTATTGTGGTAATGGGCCACATGAAACTTAGTTCAAAGGGGAGACCCGTGAATCGTGGTACTGGGCCACGTGGAACTTAGTTTGAGAGGGAGATTGTTGTGTGTGCGAACAAAGTTCCACATTGGTAGCTAAAAAGATTGAGAGTCTACATATAAGGTGTAAGGATCTTTTAACGATGTGAAGCCTTTTTGGGAAAAATCGTGCGAGTTCGATCAAAAGCGGACAATATCGCAACGCAAATCCGAATTACTTTTGACCATAATGTGAGTATTGGATAATGAGTAGTAACAAAAAAACATGGGACGGGGCCACATGAACTTATATGATTATTAATCACTAATTGCTAAAAGCAAACTTCAATTATTCCTTCTTTAATGTACGATGTGGCAAGAAGTAGTGGGGCTGGCAGCTAAGAGGTAGGCCTCGCAATGACCATTTTAAATTGATTGGTCTTAGTTTCTTTTTCATCATAAGATTTGATGCCTTCAATCATAACTTTTATTTGCTTCATTTATGCATGGCTCTCGAGATATATGCCTTACCACATATTTTGGAGGAGTAATTTATTTTCGTTGTTCTCAACTCTCTTTCATCATCAGAGCTTATTGAAACTTTAATTAACAACTTTCTTATCAGGCCTCTTCCACTATTCTTTTTCTCAGTTCAAGGCGCAAGTCAATGAAATTACAAATCGAGATTTATGGTTCCCTAAAGTTAAAGAATTTATGGTTTCTGGTTTTGAAATGAAATTTTGACAGGTTTTGGCTGAGATTTTCTAGCTTGTACTTTAATTTCCCTCAAACATTATGCAATTTAGACCTTAATTAATCTCTCTTAACGTTAGTGACAGGTGCAAATAGCAAGGGGGAAGAACTAAAGCTGGCATCCTTAAATATATTTTTCTTTGGAAAGGCAAACTGGAATTCAAGGATTTTTTTCTTCTTTTTCTCACCATAATCTAGTTGAAGTTGTAGATATGGAATGTCAGTATTGAAACTGAAGTAAATCTTGCATGGTATAATAAAATCGACATGAGCCTAGACAAGTGGAATTTTCCGAATGCTCAACTCAAGTATTATGTTAGTCATGTTCAAGGTTGCTTAACTTTGTAATTGAATTTGGTCGAGTTCAGACTCAAGTTTAGCACAATAAATACTAAATGAATATTACTAAGAAAAACAATAATAGCGCTTTAATGGAAAATTGTAATGTAACAATACTTGGTGAAATAATTACTTATCATCCAATTTTGGGAAAAAAATCATAAATAGTTTGATTTACAATTGGTAAATAAAAAATAGATACAATTTCAAAGTAATCGAAATTTAGCCATTTTTTCATATAAAGATAAAATCACAAACAAAAACACCCTAAAAACTCAAAAAAAAATTCACCATAATATGCTGGAATTTGAATTTTTTTACATATGATATTCTAGCATAATGTGCTGGAGTTTCAAAAATAATATGCTGGAAGTTTATACGCAAGGGCTTCAATATTCAACATGTTATGCTGGAACTTTCTGTGTTTCGGCTAGGCTATTTTTGTCCAGATTTTATCTTCGCATAAAAAGTGACTATTTTTTAATAACTTTGTAAACACTGCTATTTTTTTATTACCAATCCGAAAAAACCGGCTAACCCATGCTATTTTTGCTCCAATTTTTGTGGAATGGAAGACAAGGCCCAAACTTTAGTAAATGACTCGAGTAAAGAGCAGTGATGGGCCAATAGTCTTTCTTTAGCACCATTTGAGGCGAAAAGCAATAGTGATTTTTTAGGCCCAATTCAAGCAACTTACAAACATGACACTGAATTTGCATTAGTGGATAATTAGTAAAATAGTTAAAGAATTAACCAAAATAGCCGTTCACTACCTTTTAAACTAAAATAGTCGGTAGACATATAATATATGTATAATTTATGTGTAATATGTGTATAACCCTGTATAATCAATATAGGTAAACAGTAAACCGTAAATCCGGTTGATTATTTATGTAAAGATCCCATAACAGTTTCAGGATTTGTTAGGAACATTTGAACTTGTTCCACTATTTATTATACATGCAGAACTTTTCGTTATTAGGTGCTTATGAAATGTTATCATACATATATCATGTAATTGGAAAAACCATCACCGTAGCTGAGTATCTAACACGATTAAGAAGAAATAAGTTGCATGGGAAGGATCAATATTAACTTGATGTTCCAACTTCAGCTTCGTTTTTTGTTTTGTTCAGACATATAGTATTCGGAGTTCACTTACAGAGTAATCTGAAATTTCACCACGTAAGGCCTAATTAAGAAGAAATGCTCCTTGCTAAAAATGTCTCATTCTCAAAATTTAAACATTTAGACCTCTCGTTAAAATGAGGATAACCTTTTTAATAGAAAGAAATGAGAAGGAAAAAGGATCAAAGATCTTTGATGAGAATTGAACCTCGCACTTAAGTTATGTAAGATGTAGTTGCAATTAAGAGATTACAAATTTAGTTTTGGCCTCCAGCTCACAAAAAAAAATAAAAATAAAAGAGAGTAAAGCAAAAAAAAATTAAAATAAAAGAGAGTAAAGAATCGATGAACCCTCTAATAGTCCCTCAAATTAAAATAATACTCTTCACCTGGAACTTGTGACGTCCCAACAGACACTTGGGAAGTCTTGGTTAAAAGAGTTCTTTTTTCTTGTTTTTTCCAAAATAGATGTTTGGCAACACCAACCCGAAGATACTCTCGTATGGTATAATATTATCCATTTTAGGTCAAGCTCGCACAACTTTTCCTAAAAAAACTCATATCATTAAGAGATTTTTACAGGACTTTATTTGCATATCAACAGTTTCGGGTCAAGCCCGTACGATTTTTTTCCAAAGAGGTCTCACACCTTTAAAATATTTCTACACTTTATATGTATGCTCTCAATCTTTTTAACTATGAATGTGAAACTTTGTTCGCACCCCGGCGATAGTCCATTATGAAAGTTGTGTCCAAGAAGATATTTCTAACAAGCTGACGAGTGATAGCTCAAGACAAAACTCATTTTTGGTGTGGGTGAAAAATATAGCTAAATATCGACTTTTAATTTTTCAGAGTATGATAGGGCCACGTTTACGAGCAAGAAAAGGTGTCAAGCACTCTCAACCACTACATCATCCAATTGGCCACTACCAATAGCTTTTGAGATTCATTTTGTGTTGTTGTAGTTTTGACTTTGAGTTGAAAATCTACGTCAACAAAAGGGTCTGTCTATGAAACCATTAAAAGTTTCAGAAAATGAATGTGAGGTGCTACTCCTCTAAATTAATCTCATACGAACTAAGATAAAAAAAAAGTAATCGCAATATTTGAATGCTTATAAATTATTTAACTTTTGTTGCGTAATTGAATTTTTATCTCATTTCCTTTTAGTTTTCTTCATTCATAAGTCATTTGATTCGGATAAAGTTTCCTTATTGTTAACTACGAGGATATCATGAATTTACAGGACTTTTTTTTTCCATGTTTGAAAGATTTCTCCTGCAAACCAAGCTAGTGACAATAAATGCAGATGAATCTTCAGCTTATGATTGTAAAACTATTATACACTTAAATGAGGTATTCAATGAACATTTCGTCATCATTGCCAGAGGAAAGCGCTCGGGACCATTAGAAAAAAAGTAAAGGACGAACAGTAAAAGATGATGTAATTTTGCTTCGTCTAATTTCTGTAGTCATTTTCTATTACTAATGAGTATCTTACTTTTTTTTTTTGTTCTATATTGGGTTTTACCTGTTATGATTAAGGAAAACATATACAAATGTCACAATGTTAAGGCCGTATTCAGGAAATCACATATGGAGCTCAAAAGAAGGCCCAAGTCTACTGAAACACTAGAAAAATGTTAGATCACAATTTTGATTCCTTAAACTTACTCCTGAACAGTTTTGGTCATCTAAGTTTGTCGAAAATAAGCAATTTTGCTCTTCGTCAAATATTTAACAAACTTTGGGTATTAAATTTAGTTAGAATTGTGATTTTTTTAAAGTTTATGACATGTGTCACGACATTATTGATGCGTGTCATAACAAGTAGTAAGAGGTGGGTAGAAAATAGATTGGGGAAGATTTGCCGTATAAACATTTGGGCAAAATACAAACTGGCTGATTAAATATATATTTTGTCGGTTATTATTCCTAAAAATGGCTAAAAATATATATTTTTCTTACATTATAGGGGTGTCTTAATAGGAGTTTAGCTACAAGTTCGATGGCAAAAAATTTATTAAGCCTATTTATTACTCGTGCAACATAGTTGAAGTTTGTTTATTTTTTGACAATTGGAGCTTAGATCAAAATCTGGTGGTTTAAAAACAAGAAATAACCAAAGAATCTCCGTCCCTCAAACGAGTCCACATTCTCCAAAGCATTTTTCATAGGCTATAAGAGGACAGAAAATGAACACGTTGGACAAACAGAGGTCACAAGCCCTCTTAAGTCTTAACTATAGAATCCCAAATACCCAATAGAAAGACGTGTTCAGAGAGAGTTCAGATCTTCTCTCTCCCAAAATACTCCTCAGATAACGACTTTCCATTGCTTTCACAGCCTCTTGTTTCACCACGACACAATCCCATTTCCTTTTTTTTCTTCTCCTCCAATTTTAATTCCCTAAAAATAAAAATCTCCACTTGAATCTTAATTTCCTATATTAGCAGCCTCTATCCCTAGCCTCATATCATTACTGTTCTCACTTCCCGTAATATCTTAAATACTTTTCAAGAATCTTGATTTTTTCTGCTTCAATCAATGGCATTCTGATCTGAGTATTTTTCTGTTCAGGATGCAAGTGAAACTACTAAAGATGGAACCTTTATGCAATTCCTGTGGCAGCATCTCCACTTTAGCTCCAAGCTGCCTCACTCTCCGCTTCTATAAAAAAAGATCCAATCTTTCTTCTTTCTTTGGCTCTGTTAATCTTTCCAACCCCCAAAAACGCATCTTTCTTGATTCCTCCATATCTTTCCCTAATTACAATATTCAAGCCAGCTCAAGTAGTACTACTGGAACTAAGTCCCTCAGTCCCAGAAGAAGAAAACCCAAGAATGTTAAAACTACTGAGATTCCTGCAGTTACATCAAAAGGGTCATTGGGAAAAAAGACAGAGAAAATACAAGAATGTTCACCAGAGGAGAGAGATAGTGGGCCGGTTGACGTGCGAGCATTGAATGAAAATGGTGACCCAATGGGGCGCAAAGATTTGGGTAAGTGTGTAGTGAGGTGGATATCACAAGGGATGAAAGCTATGGCTACAGATTTTGCTACAGCAGAGATGCAGGGAGAGTTTATTGAGGTTAAACAGAGAATGGAACCAGGATTGACTTTTGTTATTCAAGCTCAGCCTTATCTTAATGCCATACCTATGCCTCTTGGCCTTGAAGCTATTTGTTTGAAGGCCTGCACTCATTATCCTACCCTCTTCGACAACTTCCAGCGCGAGCTAAGGGACGTTCTTCAGGACCTTCAGCGCAAGTCCGTGGTCCAAGATTGGCGCGATACTGAGTCTTGGAAGCTTCTCAAGGATCTTGCTAGTTCAGGTAACCCTCTGAAATTTACTCCCTTTGAAGTCATGTTATATGACATGTTTGTCTGGAAGGTTTATGTTATATTAATAATTGCAGTATAGTAGTGAAAGAAAGGGATTAATCATTGAAAAACTACTCTTTGTGCTTCATTTTATATGATGATGTATGACTGGACATAGAGTTTATGAAGCAAAAGAAAGACTTGATACATAGGGTAAATATATATAACAAATCAATACTCCTAAATTCTTGTGTTTCCATCATGTCATGTCATTCCTATAAGGGAATTTCATTAAGGGTTAAATGACAGTGTTAAAATCTCATAGCTTTAGATATAGAAAAGTGTCAATCTTCTTGAAATAGACCAAAAAGGAAAGAGCGTCCTGTAAAATGGATTGGAGGGAGTATCGGATTCTTGGAAGTTGTATAAAGCAACATCAATAGAATGGTGTCAAACTATTTAGGACATAAAGGAAGATAAGACTTTTATATAGATTGAGAAAGGAAGAACATATTTTATTTTATGTTCTACTCTGACTATGGGTTCTCAGATTGATGAGCTTGTTTTTCCTGACACTATTTACTTGCAGCTCAGCATAAAGCCATTGCAAGGAAGACTTCTCAACCAAAATTTGTTCCTGGTGTAATGGGAATGGACCTCGAGAAAGCCAAAGCCATGCAGAGTAGGATTGATGATTTCACCAACCGGATGTCAGATTTGCTTCGTATCGAAAGGGATTCTGAGTTGGAGTTCACTCAGGAGGAGTTGAATGCTGTCCCTGCACCTGTCTTAAATTCCGAGGAACAGAAACCATTTGAATTCTTGGTTAGCCATGCTCAGCCCGAGCAGGAACTCTGTGATACTATCTGCAATCTGACAGCAGTTAGCACGTCTATAGGTGAAATAACTTTCTCTCACCACATGGATGTTTGCCAGTGTGAATTACCTTTATTGAATTGGGACATGTTTTTGTCTTTACCAACGCACAGGATTAGGTGGAATGCATTTAGTGTTGTTCAAATTGGAGGGAAATCACAGATTGCCTCCAACTAACCTCTCACCTGGGGACATGGTTTGTGTCAGAACATGTGATAGTAGAGGCGCTGGTGCAACTTCTTGCATGCAAGGATTTGTGCATAATCTAGGGGAGGATGGACGTAGCATCAGTTTGGCTCTTGAGTCGCTTCATGGAGATTCTACCTTTTCCAAGCTCTTTGGAAAAAATGTGCGCATTGATCGCATTCAAGGATTGGCTGATGCACTCACATATGAGGTATATTTCGGTCCTTCAAATCTGCCCGGTTATATTTCTTGTTAAAATCATATTGAAAAGTAAATGTGTAAAGCTATGTGGAAAGGTGAAACTAAATGGTTAGGTTATAAGGAGAAATAATTAAGTATGCGATTAACCTAATTAATTTAAATGAGTAAAAACTGTAAGGGGTCTACCAAGTCCCTTCGACGTCCCAATTCTTCTTCTTGGTTGATCTTAGGAGGGAAATGCACACTCCACTGGTGATCCTCTACATTTGTCTTATGATTTTGAAAGGAAAGAATTGAGGTTAAGCTTGCTGTTCCATGTTCTTCTGAATTAAGCTATGTTGTGGAAGTGTTCTTAATTATTGAATTTTCCTTGATTAAAAGGTTCTTCTCCATAAATCATTGTTGCATGTGGCAAGACCTGTGGTAAATGCAAGGGTATAGTTTGATCCTCTTCGCTTAGCGGACAGAGAGACTCTGGCACACCTAAGTTCTACTTTTTTAGAGAAGCTCATACTTCATTTCCAAGTTTCAGGCCTAACTTTGAAAAATCTAAGAAGCTCATACATTTGATTTTGTAAAAGCAATTATTTCGTTGATTTGGGAGAAACTCCTGTATACAAGTAGTATACTTCATTTCCAAGGTTCAGGTATAACTTTGGAAAACCTATGTATCATCAAATGCTTATAAATCTTGAATGACCTTCTGCCACTAGGACTGCTTTGGCAATTGATATTGTAGAATCATCAATGCATGTCGTGCTTTTTGTTCTCATAATGTTCTAAGTGCCTTCACCATTTCTCTTTTTTCACTTTCTTCACTTGTTCTCTTTCTTCTTTATGTTATCCTAGTATTATCATTTCATGCTATGCTTTCTGGTAGAATAGAAAGCTTCATCTAAGGAAGCCATCTCCATACAATTGTCTTTGGCTGTTGTCTCACCAATCTAACCATCCTTTGTATCCATAAAGTACCTCGGAAATGGAAATACATAAAAGGGGCTGGTTTTGCTCTCTTATTTTATCAGGATTGTTGCTAAAGTTTCATAAGTTTGGACGCTTACATGCTCATGGAGGCACAACATTACTTCTTTTAAAGGGATCTCGTGCACACCAGTGAGATACCTGTTAGCTTAGATGATAGGCTGCTTTTTATAGAGAATCATATTTATCTAAGACTCAAACTTTTGTATTCCTTATCAAAAAAGATTCAAACTTTTGTAAATCCACTGCAAAAAGGAATTCACCTATATAACAGTACAATTATTACCTTATCAAGAAATGGAAGACTCACTGAAGCTTTACAGGCACTTAGGTCTTAAAAGTAAATCCTGCGTGCCTTTGCATATGACCGTGATGTGTGAAAGTTGTATATGATCAATGCTAATGTGCAGTTCTTGATTATCTGCTGGTTAGTAATTTACTATATATAATCATGGATCACCATAGGATTTCTTGTGCTAGGTTGTCTTGCATATCAACTTTCGTTGTTATTTCCATATTGTTAGTAAGGGAAATGTCTTGTGGTACTCCTAAAGTTAACAAGACATACAAGATCAACTTATTTGTGGAGTAAGAGTTGTATTTGACACAAATAGAGGATTAAGTTTGATTTGGCTCTTTATCTTTGGTACAAGATGTTTGCAATATTGATTTTTGATAGATGTTGCCGAATGTTTTATGGTAAGTTCTGTCTTCCTTGGGTCATTATTATTCATATCGTGAAAGAGTAATTTTGTGTAAAAAAGTTTTAGAACCTTGCGTCGTGACCAATGTTTAGATAGAGTAAAACGTTATATTCTGTTGAATTAGTGAAATGTCACAGCATCTTTTGAGAATTCCAGGCTTCTAATCAAGCTTGAGAAGAAAATAATCTATCTTAGAAATTTAGAATGTGGTATTCACCCCTTTCATTTTGGCAGCGCAATTGTGAAGCCTTAATGATGCTTCAGAAGAAAGGCTTCCTGAAGAAAAATCCTTCAGTAGCTGTGGTAGCTACACTTTTTGGAGATAAAGAAGACCTTGCGTGGCTCGAGGATAATGGCATGGCAGATTGGTCTGAAGTGGAACTTCCTAATTCCACAGACAGAAAATCATTTGACGCTTCCCAGAGAAAAGCAATTGCATTAGGTTTAAACAAGAATCGACCTATCATGATAATTCAAGGGCCTCCTGGCACAGGGAAGACCGGTATGCTGAAGGAATTGATTTCTCTAGCTGTTAAACAAGGTGAAAGGGTGCTTGTAACTGCACCTACGAATGCAGCTGTCGACAACATGGTTGAAAAGTTGTCTGATATCGGACTCAACATTGTTCGCGTTGGAAATCCTGCACGTATATCCCCTGCTGTAGCTTCAAAATCTTTGGCTGAAATTGTGAATATCGAGCTGGCTGATTTCCGAGCAGAGATTGAGAGGAAGAAGTCAGATCTTAGAAGAGACCTGAGATATTGTCTTAAGGATGATTCTTTGGCTGCTGGTATACGTCAACTTCTGAAACAGCTTGGAAAGTCCATCAAGAGGGAAGAGAAGGAAACTGTGAAAGAAATCTTATCAAGTGCTCAGGTTGTGCTTGCAACAAACATTGGGGCAGCTGATCCACTAATTAGGCGGCTGGACACGTTTGATTTGGTTATTATAGATGAAGCTGGTCAAGCAATTGAACCATCATGTTGGATACCGATATTGCTCGGAAAGCGTTGTATTCTTGCAGGAGATCAATTCCAACTTGCTCCTGTGATCCTTTCTAGAAAAGCATTAGAAGGTGGTCTTGGAGTTTCCCTACTGGAGAGGGCAGCAAGTTTGCATGATGGGATGCTGTCTACAAAGTTAACAACACAGTACAGAATGAACAATGCCATAGCTAGCTGGGCTTCAAAGGAGATGTATGATGGATCATTAATATCATCTCCAACCGTTGCTTCTCATCTTCTGGTGGATTCTCCTTTTGTCAAGGTATGAAACACTTCTCCAATTTCACTAGGATTATAACTTTATGATTTAAATTATTGTACCTTGTCTACCTTTTGTTCTTTTCTAAAGTACGAAGGAGGAGTTAGGTTCCTTTCTTTGTCATTTCCGTAACGTAAAACTTAATGGCTTTTCATGAATTTCTTCATGCACGTCAAGTATTAAATAGGAAAGCGTAGGTGTAGAGGTTAACATATAGTGCAGAATATCTGTGCCATTGGCAGTGTTCAAATAGGATGACTTTTTCAGTAGGAATTTACCTTTTCGGATTATGAGATTTTATGAAATTTTATATGGACCTTAGAAGATACCCTTTTTGAAGTAAAGGTCATTAATTCTACCTTATGCCTAATTTCAAGCACAGTGTTATAATTTCAACCTGCATATGAAAAATAGATACATAGAACTCTAAACTTAAGATTACAATGCTTCATACTGTTAACCATGTGAACCAACTCATCTTGCTTTCCAATAGTTAGAGAGGATTATTTATTTAAAATCTGCAACACGATCGCTGATGTGCGAGCCCAATTCTTTTTTTTTTTTGGGGCCAAGCATGTCTATTTTGTAAATGTGCGACTGTGAGACACTAGCTTGGGATAGAGGTGTAGATGTTCTTGTTTTTTTGGTGGCTGTGAGATTTAACCTCTTTGATATCATGGAATTATGTGAACTACCTAATCTAATAGTTTAAACCATTAAATAATATTTGGCCTAAACTCCTTAACTCCCATAATGTCTTTCTGCATTTCCTTAATATCTGTAAATTTGAATCTCTCTCCCTAACATTTGCTTACTGATTTTACTGTGCAATACATATCATGTTTAGAAATAAAGGTGCTGCTGAACGCTTTATTGTGGAGTTACAATTTGGTTGTTCTTGGCACTGCATTAAAACATTAGGCAGGGTTATTGCTTGCTTGAAACTTTAGCATATTGTTTGACCAATAAGTAAATGGTTAGATAATGCATTCCATTGATGATTTTAATTCTTGTAATTGCTGCATGCAGCCCACATGGGTTACACAGTGTCCGCTGCTATTGCTTGATACGAGAATGCCTTATGGAAGCTTGTCAATTGGTTGCGAAGAGCATCTGGACCCTGCTGGCACTGGCTCCTTTTTCAATGAAGGGGAAGCAGATATCGTAGTTCAACACGTCTTCAGTTTAATTTATTCTGGTACATTCTCTTTACTATTAATTTTCTCTGCAAATAATAATTGTAGATCCTTTAATTTCTCAGAAAGTATTCATAAACAAAATTTGCATGATGAGTGTTTCTGTGGCTCAAGCGACTAGACAACATACGCATTCATTGAATTCAATTATCAAATATCTTGTGCTTAGGTGAGATAGTGATGACAATTTTGTATTCTCTTGTTATAGCCTATGAATGCATCTTTTACGTCTGAGATGAGGGAAATTTTTTTTATTTACATTTGGGGAATTTGGACGTACTTTCTACCTTTGTTTCTTCATAAATCATAAATTAGTATTGAATAGCCAAAGAAGTAGTATCAATTATCTTAAATTATCTTGTATAGGTGTTCCCCCTGCAGCTATTGCTGTGCAGTCTCCTTATGTCGCTCAAGTGCAACTGCTTAGAGACAAAATCGATGAGCTTCCCATGGCCACTGGCGTTGAGGTCGCAACTATTGATAGCTTTCAAGGCCGCGAAGCAGATGCTGTGATAATATCCATGGTAAGCTGTCACTCTACTCGTATACATGTTGACATGCTTCTTTGGATGGTTCTTTCATTTCATTCTCATCTCTGCCTTATAAGGATCATTTTAATTAATTAAACTTCCTAAAGCATTTTTTTTTCTTGCATATTTAATCTTGGAGGCTTGGTTTTGAAGTGTCCTAGAGGAAATTTTGTGGTATCCTCTGATAATTAGTAAAAAACAGTAATTCTGATCGAATGCTCAGTTACTATATGCTAAGTTATTTGGAGGGGGATGACTGTGTGTTCCAGTTTCATATACTTGATTAAGTAGTTAAAGCCATTCCCCAAACAGCAACTTTTAGCAGGGAAGGAGGAAATCAATCTGGAAACTTTATACAAGCTTCAAGTTTCTGTTTAGTAGAGAAGCATATTATTCAGTGTGCTAAATACTCTCCATTGCCTTGTATTAATTAGTGAGTTGGGAAGACCATCTTTTTCCGCTACGATTGTAGTTATGATTGCACTCTAAGGGGTCGTTTGGTTGGGAAACAAGTTATCTCAGGATTAGTTATCCCATAATTGTTATCGCATCCTCCCATAGGGATAAAAATAACACTACAATCCTCGGGATTAATTATACAGCGATTTTATCCCAACCAAAAGTGGGATGAACTTATCTCAAATTTAATCTCGGGATTAATTATCCCTTATCCCTCGTACCAAACAAGCCCTGAGGGGTTTTGGGCTTCTTATTTCTCCTTAGATAACTTCATGTATTGGAACAATGTATACATAATCCTTATTTAGACCTTTGAATTTTTCTTATATAGAAATGAAGTTGAGCCTATATAGGTGGGGTATGTTTTACTATTTGGTTCTTTCGCCGAATGCATTTGACATGGCAAGTACCTTCAACCTTAGCACAGCTTATCTGTTTCAAAAATAGATCAAGCTACGTTATGCACTTCAATATATATTGTTCAAATATTGAGAAAGAGAGTATGTAAGTGCATGCTTAATTATATAATTTTGCTTTGATAATCCTGCAGGTACGATCGAACAATCTGGGAGCTGTTGGCTTTTTGGGAGATAACAGGAGAATGAATGTTGCCATAACAAGGGCACGAAAGCATGTAGCAGTTGTCTGTGACAGTTCAACTATATGTCACAACACATATTTGGCGAGGCTGCTTCGCCATATCAGATACTTTGGCAAAGTAAAGCATGTCGAACCTGGTAGCTTTTGGGAATTTGGCCTTGGTATGGATCCAATGTTGCCTACTGCCAGTTAAGTTGGGAAGAGTTAACCAAGACCCAAATTTTTAATGCTCGTCGTCCAGCTGATGACGAACTGGGCGGATTTTCAGACTGATTGATGCCCTGGTTTGACCAAGAGGACGAAGCTCGGGGTAATTTTTATTTGTATATATAATTCAAAGAAAACTTTGTGAAAGTGTACATATATATTCATATACAGCTTCAATGTCTATATACAATTCTTGATTGTTTAACTCCTATTTTCCCTTGTATTTGAAACAGCATGAAGATTATAGTTTCAAATTCACTGACTGCAGGAGTTGTACATATATGAAGTACTTTTTGGAAAATTAAGAGTCAGAGTGATCTCCAAACTTTCGATAAACAAAAATCTTTTATTACAGAAAATGATAATTGTGTCCAATTTTGCAATGAAAGAGTTATGGCATGTCGAAAAATATATACTTTTACTTCTAGATGATAGCTGCAAATTCAGAGTGGGAAATCGCAATTAAAAACTTGCATTCTGAGTTTAGTGGAGTTAATGTACAAATAGAGATCAGTTTTCCATTTTTCTACTGCTGCTGATTTGTGATTGATGAAATGATGATTAAGGCGTATGATATGTATAGTAATACTACCTTAGGGAAGACATGCTTACTGCCATCAGAAACAGAGTTGTGGGGTTGTTGAAGTTAAATAACACAGACCAAAAGGATGCTAGAAAATAATGCAAAGTAAACATCAATTTCGAACAAGAAGTAAAAAAAATCTCCAGAATCTCATATTCAAAGCTACATATAGACCAAGTTGTCAAAATGGTTTTTTTTCACTTTAAGCCCGTACCAGAAAATATTTATATTCGGTAGCCGAAAAGTGTATAAAATTTATATATAATATACAGAATGTATATATATACAAAAAATAAATATTTTTCAGCTATTATTTTGAGAGCGACTATACATTGTCATTTTCCCAAAAAAATCAAAGACAGTGAGGATGGAAAAGGAATGTAAAACAACAACTACTATATCTCACAAGTCGTGCCGCAATTGCAGACTGCAGTGCGTCTAAATGTTCAATATGGGGTTAACGTGTTGATAATTATTCAATTGAACTTGCAATACACGTTAATGACGTTATTCATTGGGACTCTTTTGATTTTCTTACTCAACGCGATCTTCTAATTCACGAGTTGATACATATCACACAAGTTTATGAGACGCATCTTTTCTTTGGCTTGAGCAGTTGGATCGCTCCTCTTTCAAAGATTTACGGGAGAAATTCAAAAATAGCCAGATTTACAAGTGTTAATTGAAAAATAGTCACAGTTTCAAAAGTAATCGAAATTTAGCCACTTTTCATGTAAAGATAAATCTGAACGAAAACACTGTTTAAAATCCGGAAAATATTCCAACATAATATACTGGAGTTCCAGTGTAATATACCGATCCATCATAATATGCTGGAAGTTTATACACAGGTGCTCCAATCTCTAGTATATTATGCTGGAACTTTCCGCGTGTTGGAGTTCAGCATAATATGCTGGAAGTTCATACACAGATGCACCAATCTCCAGTATATTATGTTGAACCGGTCTGTGTTGCAGCAAAATAGTGACTATTTTTCAAATGACTTTGCAAATGCTGGTTATTTTTGAATTACCAATCTGAAAACTAGCTAGCCCGTGCTACTTTTACAAGATTTATAGTAACTCTTATATCTCGATCTTTTTTTTACTTGTTCTTTTGCTTTTCAAACAAGCCAACTTTTTGTACCCACTTATGCTTTTAGTTCTATCGTCACTTTGATCACTTACCAGAAATGATTAGAAAATTTCGTCTTTTTCACTTCTAATCAACACTACAACAATACAGCTATTTTTCAAATGCAATTTCCATTGGAATTCAATGGATATCTAAAAAAACAATCAAACAAGAGTAGATATTTCGTGCTAATATATTGGCAACGACAGAGAGCTGATAATTTTCCAACTCCAAATTTCTGTATATATTCAGCCAGCAGTGAAATCCAATTTCTCTCAAGCTTCTTATTTTTCATCAGAATTTCAGAAACATTGCGCAAAGGCCTTAACTTGACTTCATTTGGATGGGGCATATTCGACTATTGTTCTTCAACCACCAGTACGGAAGAACTAGATTTTGAAAATGAGCCAACTGCTGTTACAAAATGGCAGGCATTCAATGCCCTGTCTCATACTAACAATGTAAAGCAAACACTACTTTAGAGTTGACATCACTCAAAGTTATCTTTGTTCATTGTAACATATCTGATATCAATTGAAAAGCTGTGACTTGAAAATAGAGTAGTTGATGGAGGTGGTGCTTTGATACTCCTCGGTTGTGTCTTGATCACTTCCCAGCTTCGGTCGGTGTTTTTGTAGTCATCTGGTCAACTGCATGCACAGTGTTCTGAAGCTCTTCCCATATGGCTTTGTAGACCATCCTCTGCCTATTCACAGCAGATTGTCCCTCAAAAGCTGAAGAGACTACATCAATGCTGCAAAGAGAAGAATAACAATGACTTTACAGAACTAGCAACAGATACACTCACCACTTGATTTAGGCACCATCTAATAGAGAAGAAACCTCACCTGACATGCCGACCATCACCATAAGCATCTTTAACGATGACTGAATCCGCATTCAACTGTTCCTTGATCTGTTGACATATATTTAAATTTCAAATGGACCATTTTAGGCAGAAGTACAAAATACATGAAGGTAAGCGCATTGATGTCCCCAGTAGAAATGTAGCCTAAACTATTGGAAATATAGGAGCATAGAATTTATAAAGCTAAATGTGCATAAGCCAATCAAATTCTGCTATCTTTATTAATGTAATAGTAGGCTACAGCCTTGTTTATGTAACTGTGACAAAAATGACAAACATGTAAAAAGGTCAATCATCAAAAGTGTCTGTAATGTCACATCTGAATGGAATTCTTGAAGAAAAATCTACTTCAACCAATATGCCCTTAGGCACGGCCACACATACATAGAGATCACGCTTGGAAATGGTGGACAATGAGCTACAGCAAAACTGATTGCGAAAGATGGGACAAGGAAGAGTAGTTCTTTACCAGAACTGAAATTGTGGACATGCTGCGCTTAAGAGCTGTTGCTGCTATATTTTAGTTAAAGTAGGTGCTAATATATGCCATAAAGAAGCAGCATTCTACAGTTCGTTCTTATATGACTCCGACGTTAATGGCATTTGATCAATATGAACCACCTGCGTTGCACCAGAACCAGTTTGCAAACAAAAAACTTATACTTACTACGAGGAAAAAGAAGAAAAAAGCAAACTATATCTGAGTAATTGAGAATATTGTAAACTAACATGTAAGGATCCTCTAGAAGGGATTCACGTAAATCCAAAATCCAGACCGTGCTTTCTTATTTGGTGCGATGAAGTCTTTTTATAAGCATAGTTCTATTAACATCAATACGACACAGCGACGAATAATGTGAGATTCTCCTAATTTTTTGATAAGGGAGATTCTCCTAATATATGATAATTGCTTGCAAAATAATCCTTTCCCCACCCACTAACACTATCGTCAACAAATGTACACTCCCTCTATATTTTTTCTTCCCTTTACATAGTTCAAGTAGTTTTCAGCATCTATATCTGTCTTCCTTTCTCATTCAGCCACTTCCCGCATCCAGGAAACCACTCAAACTCATCACAGCTCTGGTGCCTATAAAATTCAATTTTTCTCATAACTTTACAGTTTACTGCACATGGATCAAGGTGTTGCACTGCACCATGCCAGTAGCTATTTGATATAATATGCAACATCTGTGATCCTAGGGAGGTTAGTTCAACTTAACCGATAAAATTCCAGAGGCTAGTGGCGCACGGTTTGAAATTCGGTGGATAATTGGCCTGCCCCTCTACCCTTCTCCACTTAAGTACCAAGCTTATGTTTGCAGCACGGTTAGACGCACATCACGAGCTGCGCTCTTATCACTAGACCAAAGTCCTAAGAGCAAGGGGTTTCATTGCATGCTTCACTGCACATCCAGAGGTTGCTTTATTCACTGTTTTTCTTGATCCTTTTTTTCTTTTCAAATCATAACATCTTCAACTCTATGATATACCATTGTAATAAATATCATGAATATTTTGTAGCTTCAAGATGGCACATACTCATCATTATCAGGTTCCTTCTATATAAATTGTATTGTAAGATGGCACGTACTCAAGGATGTTTTCTTCCCAAACTGAATTTCTCGCTCCTCTACGTCCCTACCAACGAATTGAACCCCGTACCTAAAGCCCCTTGAATTTACACCTCTTTTTTCGTCCTTAAATTTAGACCTCAAGTTCTTCTTTTTGGTCTCTAAATCCCTCCTCCCAATTCTAGTTCTTCCTTTGAATTTTGATAGTTAACGTACTATTCTATTCACTCTACATTTTTTTCTTGGATCAACACTATTCAGTGCACTCTACTTATCTTTCATAACTATTCTAATCTAGTAGTGAGGCTCATTTGGACTCGGTATTCAGATGCATTATAGTTAAAAAAGAAAAAAGTAACAGCGTCAGTAGCAAAAAGAAATATGCTTCCAAGAACATTTCTTGGGGTCAAAGCCTCAGTAATCCATAAAGTTTTAAGCTTTAGAACGAGATACTAGCAATGCCCAAGATATAGAAACCACATAGCAGATAATACAATCCCAATTAAACAAAATTACAGGTTTTATGGTCACAAAAGGGGCAATAAACGCATACTAAAAAAAGAGTCGATAAGATTAACCTTTTTCTGCATAGACTCCATAAGAGGAGAATCAATCGAGCCAGTATCGCTAGTTGCACGAGTAGAGAAAGTCCGACGACCAGCGAAAAGCTCAATCTTTGAACCTATTTGGGGAACGAGCTTCATCGGCCTGTAGGAACGAGCAGAAATAGAGACGCATTTGAGCAATGAAGGTACACGTGGCTGAACGGAGCTGCTCAGTCGCCGGATACACAGCGCCGCCACGTTTGGCCTTACAAACAACGCTTTCGTCATCTCTACTCTCTTTCCTGTTTGGCGTCAAAGCGAATTAACACCTTATTCTTTTTAGCCCTTTTGTTTGTGTATCTTTTTTTTTTTTAAAGAAATGTATTGTTGGGTTAACTTGCCCCCCGTGACAATAAATTTTGTCCAAGTTTTTTTTCAATTTTTTTTGGCAAAACTTGTTTGTTTATAGATTTTATCCATGTTTTAAAAAATTTTAAAAATAAAATTTTTAAATCCCCAAACTAGCTCTAGACCTATTTTTGGCCCAAAATATTACTTTTGAATTTTTTTAACAAT